TGGAAAGTCATGACATCCATGTTTCTCAGCTGAAAATAAATGAGAACCTTTGAAGCATAAAAAGTACATTGGAAAATAGTAGTCAAGATACTACACTATATTGGGGTCAGAGAGATAGTACAGTGAGTAGGGCACTTGTCTTACATGTGGCCGACCTGGGTTTGATCCCTAGTATCCCATATGGTCCCCCAAGTACCCCCAAGAGTAATTCCTGATTACAGGGCCAGGAATAACCCCTGAGCATCACCAGGTGTGGCCCAAATACAAAATGCATAGTTCACTCATATTATATCTTATCAATGATACATAGTTGTGATAGGTAATTAAAATTTTTTAAAGTAATGAAAAACATGAAGTAGTAAGAAAACATTAATATACTTTAATTGGCAGTTATCACCCCCACCCCCATACACACACCCGCCCGTTTTCCCAGAGACAGTTACATAATGGTGCATCTAATAAAGGATCTTAGATTTGGTCCCCAAAGTCCTTCCCCAAAATGGGCTAAACATTTGATTGTGGTGTTATTGCCCCAAAATGGGCTAAACATTTGATTGTGGTGCTTATACACTTCACCCATGGTGCTTGCTAAGGGTCACACATTTGGTTGCAGTAATTACACACTCTCTTTTGCAGCGCTCACCTGGCTTCATACTCATTTCACACTCTGTCAGTGGTGCGCCCAGCAACGAACACTAAGTAGTGGGGCCAAGGATCACAAATGGTAGTGCCATCAAATTGTACTTGGCATGTGGAATGATGCAATAGATCAAACTCAGCCTCATACCTGCAAGGCAGGTGGTTTGCCATTGATTATTGATCCCTGGCACCATGGTAGATTAGCATCATGCATGACAGCATAGAATTCTTTCGGGAGGGGGGGATAAGGAGGTGCCTCTCAAGTAGTGCTCAGGGGGATTGGGAGATGGCTCAGTGGTTAAGGTGCTTGCAGTTAACTCTGATTCTGTTACCAGCATCAACATATGGCCCCCTGAGCCTCAGCAGGAGCCATCCCTGACCACAGAGCCAGAAGTAAGCCCTGAGTACTGCCGAGTGTGACTCTTCAGAACAAACAAACAGTAACTAGATAAATAGATTTGAATCCTCACAGATGCCTATTTGTGGTTCAAACTTTATGCTTTGTGGGATTGTTGGGGCAGTAGGATAAGACAGTGCAAGTGCTTGGTACATGCTGTCAGGCAAGTCAGCATGAGTTCAGTGTGGGGCCTCGGAGAAAGAAATAAGATCAAACTGTTTTAGTCCCGAAGTTCCTAGAGATGCTTGCTGCTCTTCACTGACTGTTTAAGCCTCTGTTCCTTGTTTTCCTGGCTAGAGCAAGGTGAAGTTAGAATAAGAGATATCCGTACAGCTAAGGACAGCAGGATGTGACTTGTGCTGATGCAAGAGCACTCTCCCACCCCAGATTTAATGCTCTGCTATCACTCTCTAATTCTTTATTTTTAAGGGGGTTTCAGATTCTTCTTTTGTTCTGGGCTTCACAAATTATGTAGGGGGTGTTGCAGGTAAAGTGGTTGGGAGGGTGAAGAGAGGTCACATAGCACTTAGCATTAGACGCGGGTTGTAATAACACCTGACAATTATCACATGAAGATAAATCATTCTTAAGACAACAATAAATCCATATTGACATCACCTTATTGTTAAAACAGTACAGAATAAACATTTACCTCATTTAACAGATAACTGAGGCCTGGCAAATTAAATAACCTGCTAAAATCACACAACTTCTAGCGCTTAGAGTTCAGCCAAAATCCCACTCAGCCAAAGCCACACATGGGCCTGTCAATTAAATCCTCATTTCCTTCCTTCCTTCCTTCCTTCCTTCCTTCCTTCCTTCCTTCCTTCCTGCCTTCCTCTTTCCCTCCCTTCTTCTCTCCTTCCCTCCCTCCGTCCCCTCCCTCCTTCCTTCCTCTCTCCCTCCTTCTTTCCTTCCCTCCTCCCTTCCTTCCTCCCCCTCCTTTCCCTCCTTCCTTCCTTTTTTCTTCCTCTTCTGCTCCCTCCTTTTTTCCCTCCCTCCTCTACTCCTTCCTTCCTTCCTTCCTACCTTCTTACCTTTTTTCCTTCCTTCCCCTCCTTCCTCCCTTCCTCTCTTCCTCCCTTCCTCCCTTCCTTCCTTCCCAGACACATTTTTTGTAAAACCCAATATTTATATGACCTTGATGCTTAGCCTCAGCAATTGCTCCTCAGCAGGAGTTTCGGAGCCCCTCCAAGATGATGTAGAATCCCTCCTCCTGCCACCACCATGACCTGGTGCTTGTTGGAGCTGTAGCAGACAGAAAAGCACTGTTCCGCGGGTTGCCTCTCAGTTGTCAATACAGACGGTTCCTCTGGCCTGCACAGAATCACTGGCCTAGAGACCAGTATCTGGCAAGGCTGACCAGCCAGGTGACAGTTCAGCTTGCTTCCTTTGGCTCCTGATACACTTAGCTGACATCCAGCTCTGCCCTCCCTAAAGCACTGAGAAGTGTGGGGTCAGGACCTGGGAAAAGAACCATCAGACCTGCCTGCTTCCCGTGGGCCGAGGCCATCGCCATCTGTCTGGGGCAGCGACCCCTGGCTTTCCTGCAGTGCCAGGCTGTGTGATTTCTCTCGCCACTCTTTCTCCTGCCAGATAATGAGAGCAATGAGAAGATTCCGTTCCATCATGCAGGCATAGAGCTTGGTATGAGAAAACTTGGTATGAGTACAGGTTTGCTTACCATGTGTGGCCGCAGAGCAGGGAATTAATCCTTGAGTGTTTCATCTCTTGGAGAGCTGGATTTGAATTTTGAATGTGACAATGAGACTGTTTGTTGTTTCTGTGCAATTCCCTAAGTGGCTGTTTACTCAAGACTTTTCCTAGTGTGAATAGAGATAGGGGGGTGGGGGGAGAGAAGCCATCTGCTCTGGAATCGTCTTCCAATTACATGATCAAATTACTGCAGAGCAAAATGGAGGGAGTCCAACAGAAAGTTCCTGTCTGGTGTCCCCAGTTCGGTCTCTCAGACCCTGATGTCACGTGGAGTCTCACATGCAGCTTTTCAGAGCCAGGGGAGGAGAAAGAAGGGGCAGAGCTAGTGGGGAGCAGAAAGCCAAGGACTCGACCAGGTACTTTGCCACCTCACCAACATGCGTCAGTGCTGGGAAAGCAACGCCGTCTTGAATGTGAGTTTTAAAAAGGAAACTCTGGAGGAAGCCCTTTTCCTTCTGACTTTCGGGATGCCTGTCTTTGATTTGTAGAAATATGTTGCAGTTTCATCCCTTTATCAGTGACAGTTGTGCTTTTTTTTTTCTTCTGGCATTCATTTTTATTTTTTTTTTTGTAGGAGTACTGCTATTTATTCAGCCACTGATTAGCTGATTGAATTGTGCATGAACTCCACCTTTTTTCTTTTTTTTTCCATTTTTTATAATTTTATTTATTGCATCCCCGTGAGAGCAGTTACAAAGCTTTTGGGTCTAAGTCTCAGTCATACAATGAAACACCCGTACCTTCACCAGTGCCCATTCTCCATCACCAAAAATCCCAGTATACCCCCATCCCACACCCTCCCCCTGCCTGTGGGGCAGATGATTTCCACATTACTCTCTTTCTACTTTGATCACATTCACTATTTCGACACCAGACCCACCATTATTTGAGATTTTACCCCAACACTCAGATCTGCTGAAAAGGCAACAATAGACAATTTGTGTTCTATTGCTGGTTATGAATAACATATGATGTCGTGTGGCTGCAGTAGGGCCATGTGGTTTTGAAATCCCTAAATTTTAACACTTAAATCTGGAGGGATTTCTGCCAAAAGCCACTGGGTTTAGAGATCTGCTCCTGAGTCTCTGGGATCATGGCCGTTGAGCAGCTTGATGAGGAGCCAGAGAGGCCATTCGTGGGCGATGACTTGGGGTCTCGTTGGGGTGGGGAGGACAGACCCAGCTCCCCCCCCCCCACATCCCGTGAGGCCCAACAAGTTTCGTCACTGTGGGCCCAAGCCTGACTGTCCAATGGCCTCTGGAGGATGACAGCCACCAAGTCGCCAAGAGGGAGCAGGTGGAGGGACAGCGCCCATTCCCCCCTGGGTTGGCCGGGCAACAGTAACCTACTGCGGGGTCCGGACACATTTCTGCCAAAAGCCGCTGGGTTTCGAGATTTGTTTCTGAGTCTCTGGGATCAAGGCCATTGAGCAGCTTGATGAGGAGCCAGAGAGGCCGTTCGTGGGCGATGACTTGGGGTCTCGTTGGGGTGGGGAGGACAGGCCCGGTTCCACCGCCCCCCCGCCCCCATCCCGTGAGGCCCAAAAAGTTTTGTCACTGCGGGCCCAAGCCTGACTGTCCAATGGCCTCTGGAGGATGACAGCCACGAAGTCGCCAAGAGGGAGCAGGCGGAGGGACAACACCCTTTCCTCCCTGGGGTGGCCCGACGACAGTAACATACTGTGGAGTTCGGATGCATCAAAAGCCACTGGGTTCTGAGATTCGTTTCTGAGTCTCTGGGATCATGTCCATTAAGCAGTTCAATCAGGAACCAAAGAGGCCTTGCCTCCAATTATGTAGCTGAGCCGAGGTGGTTCGTGGGTGCGTTTCCCACATACCTAACTTTTGGCCATTTACTTTCTTGCTAAACTTTGCCCCAAGTTTTTGGGGTCTGGCCAAAGGCACAGCAGCAATTTTGGGGTATCTAGAAGTCTGAAGGCACCATGAGGCTGCTGATGCACTCACCTCACAGGTACAGATTGACCTGCTGGCGGCACCATACCCCCTGGCATTCATTTTTATTTAGATGCTTAAGTGATTTAATTCCTTTGAAATAGAAGATGCTTTTCATGGTTTTTAAATAAGGCTATCTTGATTTGTAAAAAAAAAAAAACTCACGTATTCTTTTTTCCACTGAGTATGTCTCTCTCTCTCTCTCTCTCTCTCTCTCTCTCTCTCTCTCTCTCTCTCTCTCTCTCTCTCCCTCCCTCTCTCTCTCTTTCTTTCTTTCTCTCCTTTTTTGCTCTTAGGCATTCATGCAGCCTCACTTACTGGGAAATGAGTTCACACATTTGGAGTTTCCAAGGAGAGTACAGAGAAAGGAACTTGGAAAGAAGATGCTCTACAGGGACTTTAATATGACAGGCTGGTAAGAACATGCCTCCCCGGGCCTCAGTGCTGCCATGGGTATGAGAGGGTGGCGGCGCCCTTGGGAAAGGCCAAGGGCTCAGGCCCAGATTTGGGGGGGGGAGGGTGGCTTGTGGGGAAGAAGCAGCAGCCCCACCTGCTGCTGCTGCCTCTGTCTGGCCACCATGGCTCACATCCTGGCGGTGGGTTTGCATCTCTGCTTCTCCAGAGCCCTCTTTGGGTTTGCTCGTCCCCATGAAGCTGATGTAATTCCTCACTTCAAACCCAGCAAGCATCTCGGGGCTTTTGAACCTTTAATTGTGGTGTTTTTTCGGTCAGGGAAACAAAAGAGGTAGTGGAGCTGGAAAGAGGGTGGATTGGGCCAAAGGCTGATGGGGTTCTAGCTCTGCTCTTTCTAAATAGACCAAGTAGGGAAGAGTTAACTCCTTCAATCCCATTTTTCTCATGGATGAACAAATAAATATACACACACTCTTTGAAAAGTTATTGTAAAGACCGGTCATGAGCTGTCATTATTTATCACTGTTGTATCATTGTTTTTTAATTATTGAATTTGATTTGAGTTTAAATAAGAGCTCTCAATGCGCGTGCGTGCATGCATGCATATGTGCCTGCGTGTGTGTGTATTATTCCCAGAACACATTTATATCAGCACCAAGACTCTGTAAATAGTGGTCAGTGGCCAACATTGACTGTGACCTCAATTTCTTCCCTCTGGAAGGTAGGTATAATGATGAGGTATTTGTATGTATAGGTACGTTGGGGAGGGGCCACACCTAGCAGTTTTCAGGAACTCTTCTTGGCTCTGTGTTCAGGGTCACTTCCCGTAGTATTAAGGAACCATATGTGATGCTAGAAAGGTCTTAGTCACATACAATGTAAGCACCTTCTCCACTATACTCTCTCTCTATAGCCCTGTATTTAGACATTATAGGGCTGATGTCAGAACCAAATGAGAAAACATTTCCTAGTATATAGAAGTATGGAACAAAGCTTTTTTTTTCTTACAGCACAACAGGGTTGGAGCGATAGCACAGTGGGTAGGGCGTTTGCCTTGCATGCGGCCGACCTGGCCGACCCAGGTTCAATTACTCCACCCCTCTTGGAGACCCCGGCAAGCTACCGAGAGTATCTCGCCCGCACAGCAAAGCCTGGCAAGCTACCCGTGATGTATTCGATATGCCAAACACAGTAACAAGTGTCATAATGGAGATGTTACTGGGCCCGCTCAAGCAAATCGATGAACAACAGGAGGACAGTGACAGTGACATCTCAATATCTAGCTTGTGGGCCAGTGACTCTCCTACAAGTCTAGAGCAAACTAGGAGAAAAGACTATTAACTCTTATTAGCCATAACTGAAACATAGGGAGGAAAGTATGATTACTTTTTTTTTTGGTTGGGGTGGTTACTGAGGATCATACCCAGGACCTCATACATGCGGAGCATAAGCTAGCTCCACTGAATTACATCTCTTCTTCATTGACCAAAATAGTTGGAACAACTAGTCACAGCCCAAATTTCCATGGTGACGCCTTCTTGGCTTGAATCCACTTCTGGGGTGTATTCTGTTTTAGAGAAATCACTGCACTATGCAGGGTGAATAAGAAGCTGATCTAAGTCACTTCTGGTTGTGATTTTCCAACTCAAAGAGACGAGTCACTCTTCTGGACAGGATTAGTTAACTGCCGTTCAAGAGCTACCACACCTCTCTATACATAAATATACATTAGCTTTGACAAATATAGGCACATTCATTTGAGCACATTTCAGTTTTGGTTTCATTTACAACACAGGCAAAGACAGAGTAGTTGATTAATTGCAGCAGAGACCATATGACCAACAAGACCTAAATGATTACCTCTGCTCTAAAATATAAATGATAACAACGGGTTTACTCTCTCTGTATCTGAGTCCAATCTCTCTAACCCTTACTTAATGGCTTTGTCAATTTAGTTTTACTTTATATAAAATTACCCAGCAAAATATGCAGGAAAAAATTAAAACAAGGGCCAGTGTACTTTCAAAAAGCCTAGTGGAGTTTGGTTTTGAAGAATTTGGAAATATGAAAGGAAAGGCATCAAGGATTAGAAACACACAAGATGATAAACACAAAGAGTAGATTTAAGAGACAGTGAGGAAAATGGCCCAAAAAAAAGAAGAGGCGCATCTGTGTGAAATCAGCGGAATTTGTATTGAGAGCACATAATGAGGATATGGTAAGCTGGGCAGAAAGATTTAGATTTACTGTGGGAGGCTGCAAATTACTATTGTGTGTTTCTCAGGAGGATGAATGACGAAAGCAATGTTTTAGGAAGTTGGTTCTGAGAGGAGTTGAAGGAGACAGATGAGGAAATAAAGCAGATTCAGGTACCCAGAGAAAAATAGATGTATGTGATCTCTAGGGCCAAACAGAGGGCGGGAAGCAGCAGGAAAGGAAATGAGCAAGGCTTGCACTAGGTAATTGAGGCCCAGGAATGAATGGAAGGGCTAAGTCAATAGCTACTCCAATTACCTGTATAAATGTCTCTCTTCAACAAGTCTGTGAGCACTGCTCCCAGAATGGTGGGGACCCAGGGACTCATCCAGTGCCTGACATTGCCCGGCCAGGCAGCAAGTGAACATTGGAGGAGAGGAAGAAAAGGGTGTGATGGGTAGGGTTGATGGAGATGATAATGATTGATAGGAAAGGGACCACGGAGCCTATATTTGGCACACTTTAAGAGTGAAGTAAGCCAGTTTGTTCTTTCCAGACTAGAGAAGTAAATTCTATCTAAAAAGTGAAAATAGACTTGGTTTTAAAAAATGGATAACAGTGATCCTATGTTCTAATTTTTCTTTCTGTGTTTAGGGGTGATGGGGGTGCTTCTTGGGTACCACCAGGGCTATATCTGGCAGTGCTGAGGGACCATGCAAAGGGACTGAAATCAGGGCCTCCCACATGCAAAGCATGTACTCCAGCGCTTTGAGCCATCTTCCACCACTTATAATGTTTCAAATTAGAGAAATTTATAAACTACATTATATCCAACTTTAAATGCACATGTTCTCTCTCTGTCTCTCCCTCAGTTTTTCTTACACTCTCTTCTCCCTCCTTTCTTTCTCTCAAATAATAAATAGTCTTTAAGGTCATATATGGGAGATATTTAATTGTATGAAATGGCCACAAAAGGCACCACATAATTGAGCCAGGACTGATAATGGTTTCAGTCAGACTTGAGGACACGGTTTGGTTCAGCAAGTTCCCTATGTGGCTTTTGGCGCACAACTTCGGCTCAGGGCAGAGATTCACATACATCTTCATGTATTACTCTTGATTTGAAAATGTTACTTTAGGAATAGAAAGTTCTTTATGGCTTTGTTAGGAGAAGTCTGCAAGTTTGAAATCAGTTTAGACCACTGCCTCTGTAAGCTCCCTCCCTCAACTTCAGTGAGTTTCTTTGAGAATTTTTTTTAAGTCCATCCTAGCAGCTCTGTGTGTGTGTGTGTGTGTGTGTGTGTGTGTGTGTGTGTGTGTGTGTGTAGAATGTAAGAAACTTGGGGTCACAGTTGCTGCCTATCTGAGGTGGCTGTTGAAAGATTTGGGCTGAACAGGTCTGAGAATGGCTCTATGGCTGAAAGAATTTTCCCCTCACATTAAGGCCATGAGTTCAAACTCCAGTAACACCAAAACACACAGAGTGATCCTACAGGCTCTGCTGTGAGGCATTCCCAGTGAGAAAGGGGCCTGGTGAGGTTTCAGAAACACCAGGGACGGCACGAGGGCCTAAACTAAATTCTCAGTGCACCAAGGTGCTCCTGACTACTCCACAGTCTGGGGTGCTGGCAAGAGAAAACCATTAGAGAAGGAGCAAAGGGCTAATAAATTAACTCTGTGAGATCATTGCCCTGTGTTTCCCTTTCCCCCTAACGGCCTTCTGTTGCTGCCACATCAGAATGGGTTGAAGGTGAACTGGTGAACAATAGAAATATGTCAGACTTGAGGACACAAATCCTTCCCTAGTCCCTCCTGTTTCTTGGCTTCAGAGATAGCCATGGCCTATAAACTCGTTTCTCCTAAACCACTGTAACAGATAAAGGGGTGGGCTCCTTCAGAGCAATCTAACCTGCAAATACCTGGGTAGGAGAATTGTTCTCCCCTTCCTTGCCCTTCTCATCCCATTAGCAGTGGGGTTAACTGAGAGAATTTGGTGCTCAAGGGCCAGGCACCATCTTGAGAACTTCTCATGACACACATGGAACCAACCTACATGCATTGTACATGCATGCAATGAGGAGACTGAGAGAGAGAAGCTAAATAGTTTAAGGTTCTGCAATGAGGAAAACCTGGGATGAGGACCTGACCAGCCTCCCTTGAGGGTTTGTGGGGCTGGCAATTTGCGTGGCTGCCAGATGCATCCTCCTTGGGGTTTCCATTTCACAGCTGAGCAAATATATGCTTCAAGGGATGAGGTTGTTTGTCCAGCGAAAAAGTGTCAGAACAAGTACTGGAAGTTAGGTCTCTGCCTCATACTGCAGGCTCTTTTTGATAGATAACTCTAATTTTAGTTGGGATCAGATTGTTCATAATTCAGTTTGGGGGACCGGAGAGTGAAGACCATGGCTTACCCCCATTCAGTTCCCGGCACAACATAAGGGCCCTGAAGTACCACCAGGAACAATCTCTGATCACAGAGCTGGGAGTAACTTCAGCACCACTGGGTATAGCCCCCCGCAAAACCCCAATTAATTAATCAGTTTAGTTTTGAGGTGTGGTGTCATTTTTCCCCGGGAACCTCTGTGTCCCCCAGGATTCACCTCTGTCCTCTCAGGGGAGATGGGCCCGAGTGAAGCATCGTAGTAGCTAACCAGGGCATTCACGTTCCTGCTTCTCATCTCCCTTGGTACTCCACTGGACGAATCAAACTGTCGGAGCACACTGCCATGTGGCATCTGTGTGTGATTTGGGTGGTGCTGGTCGGGAAGAGCCCCCCAGGAATCAAATCTCCTGTGCTTGGGAAAG